TACAAACCTTTCCAGAGAACAGCAGCAAAGGGCACGTTCCAGAGCTTGCAATTTAGATTGAGCCAAGTACAAAAACACAACTAGAGCTATGCAAGAGCTGAAAATTATAGGCCAGTCTCATTCCTGATCACAGATTTAAAAATCTTAAAGAAAATATCAGGCACATCAAATCCGTATTATTTCAAAAGGACCATATACCTATTCAAATTGATTTTAAATCTGGACTCCACCCTTCATTTCTCTTCAAAGTCAGTCAATATAATTGGCCATATTAACAGAGTAAAAGAAAAAATCAGATTCTCATCTTGATACAGAAAAAGTGACATCTATTGATTAAAAAAGTAACTCGAGCAACAGAAGGAAAATTCATCCTCTAAAAGAAGATAACATGCCAAAACCTGTAAGAAACATAATACTTACAGGTAAAATCTCAAAAGGATTCTCTTTTAAAAAGGGGAATGAGACAAGGCGTCTACCGTCATTTCTTCTACTCAACAGTGTACTAGAAGTCTTGGCCATGACAGTAAAGCAAGAAAAAGATATAAGGGTTAAAAAGGAAGAAAAACGTAGTATTATTGACAGATGAGAAGACTATGTTCATAGAAAAAAAAAAAAAATCAAAGGCCTCACTATATTACTACACTTTTAAAGGGCTTTTATTAGCAAGATTATGGACTATAACATCAAAGCTCAAAAAATTTTTTTAGTTTTTTATATACTAGCAATTGTTAGAAATAAAGTTCTGATAAATATGCCATTTTCATCACATAAAAATCTATTAAGTATATGGAAATAAATCTAACAAATTATGTACACGATCACTATGCAGAAAATGGTATCACTGAATCTGTTGAGCAAATAAAGGCAGATGCAAAATACATGCTATATTAATCTATTCACATAAAGCTTAGAAATCAGCAAAACTACATAATTTAGAGATAAATATTTAGATAGTAAAATTAAAAAGCAAAACAAAGGAGGGATTTTCATAAAGCTAGGATATCTCTGGGAGAAAGGGCAAATGACTAGAGGGAAAAGAAGGCTTCCAGGTTCCATTTCTTGGCCTCAGTGGTGGTTAGATGGGTGCTTGTTTATAATATCTCTTTCAGCTGCACAGTTTCTACCACATTTCTGCAAGTATACTGTATTTCATACACAGGCCTATATACATGAAAGGTTTTTAAAAAATCCCCAAAGAACCAGGGAAGTGGAGATCCATATGGTAAATGGCTCTTTGAGACATAAGGATAAACTAATTTGGAACAATCACTTTGAAGAAACACTTACAATGAAACGTTTTTATTCAAAAAAAAAAAAAAAAAAAAAAAAACAGAGGACTAACAGGACGGAAGCCAGTCTCCCTACCAGGGCAGCCAAAAGCATGGTTTTAGAGTCAGAAAAGTTAAGTTTCAATCTTAGTTCTACCACATTCTAGCACTGTCTTGGGAAGGTTTGGTGTTTTTTTGTTTTTTGTTTAGCAAAGTCTAGTTTTCTGTACTGCAAAATAAGGATTCCACTTAACTCAGAAGGATTAGAGAGAATATATCTGCAGTGTCTTGTCACGTAACAGAAGATCAGTAATGAAAACCGCTTTTGTAATTATCTCTGCTATAACTAGAAGGTGAGTGCCTCCCCATTATTAGTAAGTTTACAGTCTTGAACTGACACGTAAGGTACTGACCGACCAAAGGCATTACCAGTCATTCGGTTAATAAAAATCGATCATCAGGAACTACCTCACTTGAAATCATTACTAAATGACAAGTTTTACAGAAATCTCAATAAATTACATTTAATACATTCAATAAATATGGTTTTATAGTAGGCTGCTCCAACAGTTCCTTTCTGAAAAGAATTATAAGAATCCTTTTTACATGTGTTTGTTATATGACCACAGTATAACCTGTACATAAAAAAAGAAGAGTCTTCACAGTATGAAAGCTTTAAGGACATAGATGTCACACAGCACTAATGAGTATTTATCCACATTAGTCCAAAAGTATTCAAATCCACAGGTATTCGCCACAGCAGCGTGAGCTGATCATGAGCGCTCAGCCCATCTCATTCAGACGCAAGCCATAGCACAAAGAACCATGGCCATGGAAGATCCATTCAACCTGTGAGAAACAAAGTAGTAACAGGAAAAAAGAATGCGTCTAAGAGACAAACAGATCTGCTCACAAATCCAGGCTCTGCCATTTCCTAATTAAACATTCTCTTTAAGCCTCGGTGTCCAGAGTTGTCCCAATGAAATAAAATCTCAAAGGACTGTTGAACAGAAATTCCTCACTGCAGAACTGGGGCAGGGGGGAGTGGACCGACCATCATTCTGCGGAGTAAAGCCACCTCTTAACTCAGATACCCCACCCCACCAGATTGTGCCTGCTTTTTCACACAGGTGTTTCTTTGTTAAGTGTCTCATAGAAGTTGACTAATAATACAGCCATTAATTAGACATCAGTACAAAATTAAAACTCCAGCACAAGGAATTAAAATCCCAGAAATTCAGAGCTGCAGAGAGCGAGCCCGGAGACTACCAGATGCTCTAGACATAACCTGGTGCCATCTACCTGGGCTTACGTTTTTTACATAGATGATCACTACAATGTAGTTAATTGTTAAGGATTTGTTAAAGGTCTAGAAGAGTAATTCTCAACCCCGGCTAAACATTACAGCCACGTGAGTAGTTTTTTTTTGTTTTTGTTTTTTTTTTTAATTTATGATAGTCACAGAGAGAGAATTCAGAATGCCAGAACAAAGGTCTTTTTTTTTAATTTTTTTATTTATTTATGATAGTCACAGAGAGAGAGAGAGGCAGAGACACAGGCAGAGGGAGAAGCAGGCTCCATGCACCGGGAGCCTGATGTGGGATTCGATCCCGGGTCTCCAGGATCGCACCCTGGGTCAAAGGCAGGCGCCAAACCGCTGCGCCACCCAGGAATCCCCTACGTGAGTAGTTTAAACACACATGCACACGTTCCACATTCAATCAGAATTGAACCAGAAATTTGAAGTAGAACATGGGTGTTAATCATTTTGTAAACCTTCTCCTGGTGATTCTAATGAACAGCAAGGGTTGAGACCACCAAAGCAGAAGAAAAGACAGCAAAGAAACCTGTCAGTACTTCATAGTCAAAAAAAAATTGCCTTAATAATTATGTGGCCCTTTTTCTATCCCACTAAAAAATGAGTCAGATAAAGAGCAACCCAAGAGATCCAGGCTGTATTTAAACAATTTCACAATCAGGGGACCTGGGTGGTACAGCCAGTTAAGCATCTGACTCTTGGTTTTGGCTCAAGTTGTGATGGAGCCCTGCATTAGGCTCCGCACTCAGCATTGAGTCAGCTTGGGATTCTCTCTCCCTCTGCCCCTGTGTTCTCTCTCTCAAATCAATCATTTTCACACTCAAGAGTTATTTGATATAATGTAATTAAAGGAGATATACAATTAGCTTCTCTGGAACACTACTCATACAAAGAGCACATTTTGGTATTATCATGTTAAGAAAAAATGGAACACTACTGCTTTTGCCCAGGGCTTTGCACTTTCTCTTGTGATTTTATCCATGCTAAACAGTGCATTAGAAAGTCACTCCAAGTGTAACATTTTTAGTTATCCCATATCAAAATGAAAAGTGTTAACAGACAGTGGCTATCAGAAACATGACTTTTGTTTTTCTGTACTTTCCACTTTACACAACGTGTATTTCTACCCATGTTCCAGATATTCTTGGTTTATTTTCTAAATTTCTCCTATAGAAATAAGTCGTTACTATAGTAATATTTACCCACCCTGATATTCTTTCCCATTTGCTTATTCTAGGGCTTTTGCACATAGCAACCACACAAATCTCTGCTGCAAGCTGCTCATAGCACTCAGATCCTTGGCAACATTCAGAAATGAATGTATCAAAAAAAAAAAGAAATGAATATATCTTTAAACTATGGGAACACTTAGCTGAATACCATAGTTTCAAATGTCTCTAAAGTGCTTTTTGTGCAAAATCCATCCCAGATTTGACAATTCTTACTATAAGTAACACATTCTCTTTATCTTCACGCAGGTGGAGGAGTCAAAAACTATAGCAGAATAAGCTGGCACAGGAGTCTGCTCATTATTAACATATTTTGGAGTTGAAGACATTTACTCCTGGCATGTATAGCTAACGAGTGATTATTTAGTATACATGTATTTTTCTCCCCGACAAAAGTTGCAAATAAACGGTATCTTTATGCAGATTGAGAATGTTCCTACTCTTTAGATAAGAACTTAGCAGTTACTATGGTAGCTGTTTGAATCGATAGAGTATTAGTGGACTGCTACCTATGCTTTGTCAACATATTTTCCCTAGAAATAACTTATGTGGAAAGACAGTGGATGTGATTCTTTGCATAAAAGTTCCCATTTGTGAACTCATAAAGGAGTAATAGATTAACACCTACCTGATTATCACAGGAGGGAGTCCAGTTACAGAAAGGGTCATAAAGAGCACAATCACAGCCTCTTAACTTTCGGTAACAAGTCTTTGCAGAAAGAATAATTAGTTATAGACGTATGTGTGCACACACTCAAAATATGTGGAGATGTAAGTAGATATAAATGTGTGTATTTGTACACATAGAACTTTAAAATACATAGAATTTTACAATGCATACAACCATACAGAACAAAGTAAAGTGTGGATAATACTGAATTAGCTAAAATCAAGATCGAGGACAGCCCCGGTGGTGCAGCAGTTTAGCACTGCCTGCAGCCCAGGGCATGATCCTGGAGACCCAGGATCGAGTCCTCAGGCTCTCTGCATGGTGCCTGCCTCTCCCTCTGCCTGTGTCTCTGCCTCTCTCTCTCTCTCTCTGTGTGTGTCTCTATGAATAAATAAATAAAATCTTTAAAAAAAAATAAAATCAAGATCAAAGCCCCCAAAGACCCTAATGAGTAACGTCTTCATTCTCTTTTTTTTTAATTTTATTTATTTATTCATGAGAGACAGAGAGAGAGAGCGAGAGAGACAGAGAGAGAATGAGGAAGAGAGGCAGAGGGAGAAGCAGGCTCCATGCAGGGAGCCCTACGTGGGACTCGATTCCGGGTCTCCAGGGTCACGCCCTGGGCTGTAGGCAGCGCTAAACGGCTGAGCCACCAGGGCTGCCCTTCATTCTCTTCTTAATGTTTCTTCTAAGTCCATTTATAGTAGGAGGGAAAAGAGTTGAAGAAAAATCACAATAGGGGAGTTATTCCAAATAGTATCCACCAGCAGGTTGTCTCAGCCTAATGATTCGTGGTCTCTTGGGTGTATGATGGGAGCCTGTTACTCTGAGCTGGGTTTGCAATGAGTCACACAATGGCTGACTCACTTTCCTCCATGACTAACCAGTGCAGGAGTTTGTCGGTGAAGGACCCACAGCCCACCACAAGGCGGCACCCCAGGGAAGGAAGAGTCTAAGGTTAGTGGGTTCCAAGAGAAAAAGATTCTTTGGGCTGCGCGAAGGAAATAGCATATAGCCACAAAATATAGAATATGCAGCTCACTGATGAACCGGGGAATCTGTGCAGTCAAGTCAGCATCTGATGACAGAATTATCTTCAGTACGTTGCAAAGGACTGGTTGAAAGACTTAAAAAAGAAAAAAAAAAAAGAGGTCCAAAAAGTTGCAAAGTGAATTTAACCTGTGGTCAGACCCCTAATACTAACATAGAATTTGGAAGAAGAAAAATATATTAAATGTTAGACTGATTTACCATTTTCTATTTAAAAAGGGGGGGGGGATCAAAATTCTTCAGACACAAGAATTTCACACTTGGACAAAAAGCTATCCTGGAATACCTGGGTGACTCAGTGGTTGAGCGACTGCCTTGGGCTCAGGTCATGATCCCAGGGTCCAGGGATGGAGCCCCACACTGGGCTCCCTTCTCAGTAGGGAGCCTGCTTAACTCTTTCTTGCTCCCTCTACTTGTGCTTTGTTCTCTCTCTCTAATACGTAAAATCATTTTTAAAAAGAGAACACTTTTCTTTTAAAACAGCATTTCTAGGGCATGAAACTTAAGATTCTCCCTCTGCCCCTACCCTCTTCCTTCTCTAAAAAAAAAATAAATATAAATAACACAGTTATTTCTTTTTTTAAGATTTTATTTATTTATTCATGAGAGACACAGAGAGAAGGCAGAGACCTAGGCAGAGGGAGAAGCAGGCTCCTCACTGGGAGCCTGATGTGGGACACGATCCCAGAACTCTGGGATCACGCTGAGCTGAAGGCAGATAGTCAACCACTGAGCCACCCAGGCGTCCCTAAAACAGCCTTTCTAAGGACGATCTAGATCAGTGCTCTTCAGAGTTTAATGTATATACCAATCCCTTAGGGATTGTGTTGAACTACAGAATCCAATTCAGTAGGTCAGAGGTAGGGCCCAAGATGCCCCAATTCTAACAAGCTCTCACCTTGGAAATGTCAATTTCAGTTGCTTAGGAAATCAGGTCAGTAAATTTTACATTAGCTCCTCAGTGACTGTGCACTTTTTAAAGGGACTTGGGGAGATATAATCCAAAAACTAGGCCCATTTTTCCCTGTATGACTAGAAAATCCACAGCATTGTGTGTACCTGAGTTAAAACCCAAGAACGTCAAGTTCCAAACAGACACGAAAATAGCACATCCAGTACCATGGCAAAATTGTACCATCAAAGGGAGCTAATATTTGCTGGCGGCCTTTTACATGTCAAGCAAGCACAATGTGCTTTGGAGACATCATTTCTTTTCATTCTTCCATGTCAGAGGAGGCACCTGAGACAGAGCCTCTGCTCCAGGTCAGAATCTGAATTCACATTCCACCCCCATCTGTCTCTATGTGCTACTTTTATTTATTTCTATTTTTATGTTCCAGCTCTATGCATCCTATTCCCCACCAGGTGGTAGATGGGATCATTATTCCCAACTATTTCTCCCTCTGCATAATAGGGTTATTCATCCTTTTGACTGTCATGGGAGAGAAGTACATGTCCCCACTTCCTTGACTTTGGGTTTGGCCCCTATGACACACATTGACTAATGGAAATGTGAGCAGATATGGCACTAACCACCTCCAAACCGAGGTTTTAACTGTGTTGCGTGGTTTGGATTGTGCTCCTGCTCTTCACCAAGAGAACAGCATGTCCCAGATAGAAACTGTTCTTTCAGTATCACTTGTAATAATAAGAAAATTGGAAACCACCTATTGTCTATTAAAGATGGTAATTACAAAGACACAGGCTATGGAAGAATACATAATGTCAAATAAGAAACCCCAAACTAGGACTGCAGCTATGGAGAGCTGCAACATACACACGAACACGGACAAAAGGACAAAAAGGAAATCTACCAAAATATAATCAAGATTTTGTTGGACTCCTGGATAACTTTCGTCCTCTTCTCTATTTACTACATGTCTGTTACCGTGGCACGCTGCTTCAATAAAATGCAAATTCATCTTCAACTTTCAAATTTCAAGGCAAGACTTTATAAGACATACCATCAGACAATACAGGCCATGGGCACACCTTGCCAAACTGAGAATGTCACAACTTGGAATCTTCTCTTTTTTATGTGCAATAAAAACTCACAGTTGCAAGTTACCAGCAGTGTGACCTTGTATAAATTAACCACTCTGCCTGTTTCCTCATCCATAAGTGGTTTTAATACTGACTTCTTTGGTTATTTAGCACATTAAATATGGTAATATATAAGGCACCTGACTTATACAAGCATTCAATGAAAGCACCTTTCTTTCACTACAGCTAATAACACAGAAAACAGATGTAATTATATCTGTTGTAGAAAGGGATTTATCAACGAAGCATTAACCGAAGATAATATTCAAGGCAATTTAAAATCCTCAGCAGTCCATGAACCTAGCTCTAAGCAGATTCTACAGCACACACCACTTTTAGGGACCCTTGATTACCCTGAGCCTACCCAGGTAATCCAGTACCATCTTTTTTTTGTTTTTTTAAAGTAGGCTCCACACCCAATGTGGAGCTCCAACTCATGGCGCTGAAATCACAAGTCACATGCTCTATACCTAACTGAGCCAGCTAAGCACCCCCAGGATAATCTTTTATTTATTTTATTTTATTTTATTATTTTATTTTATTTAGGATAATCTATTTTAAAGACACCTGAGTAGCAACCTAATTCCATGTGCAACTTTAACTCCTCTTTCCTTTCCTTTATTTAACATGTTCCACAGGTTCCAGGAATTAGGACACAGAATTCATCTGTGGGCCATTATTCTACCTAGCACATGGTGATACCACATGCATAACAACTCAGTACTTCAGAAGCTGGCTGAAATCACAGATTCCCACAACAAAGCACCAAGGTGAATTGCTCTTTTCTATTTGTGTACTCTGATGTTCCCAGTGGTTGATCAACATTCAGTCTCTTATATCAGAAAAGCACATTTGCTTCTTTTTTCCAAGATTTTTTAAATTGATTTATTCATGAGAGACAGAGAGCGAGGCAGAGACATAGGCAGAGGGACAAGTACGCTCCCCACAGGGAGCCCGATGCAGGACTCGATCCCAGGACCCGGGGATCATGACCTGAGCCAAAGGCTTAAACACTGAGCCACCCAGGTGCCCCCAGAAAAGCACATTTCTGTAAGAACCATACTTAAATGAATGAATGCTCTCCATCTATTCAGCCCTGCTTCAGGGCCAACTGCCAGGGCCACATCTAATAGAGAAGACTTAAGGGCAGTCTCAGTTCATGAAGCCCTCACCAACCCAGGGGAAGGGGATTAACCAAGTGAAACCCCAGTAACACTGAAATCAGAACTTCCAAAGTTCTGTGGAGCTGCAACAGGTTGTCAGTGAAGGCTTTCCTGAAAAAGGCATTTGGGTGAAATGTGTAGGGAGGAAAGAGAAGCAAGGGGCTGAAGGCACTGAGGCTCAGGCACATTCTGTCCAGGGTATAAGGAAACAGCCCCCTGGGCTGGGGAGCAGCGGAGTGGGCCCATGTCCCTGGGCTGCTGAATGGGAAGGTAGGAGAGCGCCATTTATGAACTCCAAAGGAGAGGAGGAAGCCAGCCTAGATCCTAAGGATCACAGGGGCCAAAAGGCCAAAGAAGGAAGAAAAAGGACCTCAAAACTGGGCAGTAAATTGTTCCCCAGAGAAGCCAGAAAACTGCAACAAATGAGGGAAGAGGCGGAGCAGAGGAAGACAGAGGCAGGGGAAGGAGGGAGAGGACTTTTCTGGGCGGCCACCAAGCACCAGCCACTGCATTTGTGCAGGACTATATAAGGAATGTGTGGAAAAATCATAAAGACAAAGAATTACGGGGGTTGCCAGAGGTTGGGAGGAGGGACCTATGAGAAGTTAGTATTTAATGGGGACAGAGTTTCAGGGTTTTTTTTTAAGATTTTATTTATTTATTTGACAGAGAATGAGAGAGCGAGCACAAGCAGGCAGAGTCAGGCCGAGGGAGAAGCAGGCTCTGCGCTGAGCAGGGAGCCCAACACGGGGCTGGATCCCAGGACTCGGAGTTCATGACCTGAGCGAAAGCAGATGCTTAACCATCCCAGCCACCCAGGCACCCCAGAGTTTCAGTTTTGCAAGACAAAGAAATGGGTTCGGGTAGACAGTGATGATGGGTACTGAACGCTACTGAGTGATATACATAAAAATGGTTAAGATGGTAAATCTTACATTATGTGTATTTGGCCATGATTTTTTTAAATTGAAGGAAAAAGGAAAAGGATGAATGGAACTTGACAAAGGAGGGATTTCTCTGCTTATCAATTTCTCTTTCTAGCAGCCAAATATTGAAAAGAAGTAGTATGCGAGATTAAGTTAAAAAAAAATCCTACAATAAGCTTGGACACCTTCATGGGCTAAGGAGAAGCAACAGTAAGGGAAATAAAGATAATATGGGATGACAGTATAAGTTCTGGAATAAATCCCAGAGAGGCAAACAGACTCAGAATCCAGAGAACATGTGGGGAGGGCAGTGGGGGGCGTAGGGGGAAGGAGGAGCTTTGGTGAGAGGTGGAGGACTCTCTTCTCCGGAGTGGAGAGAGGCGCCACCACAAGAAAGGGAGAAAGAGAGGGCTGGCTGTGAGGCAGGAGAGAAGTAAAGGATGTCAGAAGTTAGGGAGAAGAGAAACGGAGAACTGCAATGTCCAAAAGGGAATTGCTTCATCTGGATCCCTGACCAAAATTCTAGAAGTCAGTTGCACATGTCAAGGTTTCAATGGAGAACAGTGAAGTCTCAGTTGTGGTTTTATCTCGAAGCAGCTCTGTTACTTTTGCTAAGTCCATTAAACTTCTTAAACGACATCTCTCAAAGAGGGGGATTTGCTAAAATAATCCTACTGTCCCTTCCAGCTCTACATTTCAATGATTTTAAAAGCAGAGAGCTTATCCTTTGCACCGTGTCAGTTTACCTACCTACCCACCCACCCCACCAACCCCCACCCCCACCACCAAAGGAAAAAAAAAGGACTGAAATGAGAACAAAAGTCAAGGTGTATATCATTTAAATACCCTTGGGCTGATTTCACATCTCACTTTGAATAGTGAGAGCCACAACAAACAGATGGTTACCGCTGACAAGAGATGTGTCATTACAGTCCTAATGATAA